ATAGGGGCTTCAATAATTACCTATACCATTTGTTTTTTTTTGGGGGGGGTGTTATTATTAGGACTATAGTACAAAGGACTCCCAAACCGTATTCTAATTGTTCAGGCCCTTACATATAGGGGCCTGGATAATTATTAGAATAGGGCTTTTGGGGTATATTGTGCTATAATTATCATAAGAAACACCACAAAAATAGTATTGGTAATTATTAAGGCACCTACATTACTTGTTCAGAATTGCGTGCCAGTGGGCAGATGAGAAGATCAGTCGAAAGCTTTATAGCACCCCTATAGACCCCTTAGAAGAAACCGCTACAGGAGACACTCCTAAATATCTAAACCCTAAAGCCCTAAACCTTAAACCCTAAAAGCCCTAAACCCTAAGCCCTAAAAGCCTTAAGCCCTAAACCCTAAACCCTAGAAACCTTAAACCCTAAACCCTAAATCCTAAAAGCCCTAAACCCTCCTAGATCCCGAAACCGTAGACCCTCAGACCCCTAAATCCGCAGCCCTAGACCCCAAACCAGACCCGGGGGCCCTAAATCGCAAACCCTAACCTATACCTAGACCCTAAAGAGCTTTAGGGGTTTAGGGTTTGGGTTTTAGGGTTTGCATGTTTAGGGTTTACCTAGACCCTACAGAGCCTTAGGGGTTTAGGGGTTCAGGCTTTTCGGTTTGGGGTTTACCTAGACCCTAAAGAACCTAGCTTTTCAAGTACTTGTATATAAAAAGTTCATAACAAGGGGCCCTGAACAGGTGGGTTGTTTAGGGTCCAGGTAGAGCGTAAGCCCCGAGCCCCGATCCTTTTTCGAGATGACGCCTGAGTAAGGCTTCATCTCGAAGGAGGTTAAGGTGGTCCCTAATCCCTAAACTCTAGATCCTGAAGCCCTAGACCCTAAACCCTAAACTGTAGATCCTGAACCTCTAGACCCTAAACCCTAAACTCTAAACCCTAGAACCTCCCAGATGAAGCCTACCCAAAGGCTCCATTATAGCTCCTCTTCGTGGCTCATATTCAGGATCCTATAGGGTAATCCCCAAAAGGAACTACTATGGACCCTAAACCCTAAACCCTAAACTTAAAACCCTAAACCGCATGGAGCCATAGTAAGGCCTAAACCCTAAACCCGAAGCACGCATGGAGCCATAGTAAGGCCTAAACCCTAAACCCGAAGCACGCATGGAGCCATAGTAAGGCCTAAACCCTAAGCCCGAAACCGCATGGAGCCATAGTGCCTAAACCCTAAGCCCGAAACCGCATGGAGCCATAGTAAGGGCTAAACCCTAAACCCGAAGCACGCATGGAGCCATAGTAAGGCCTAAACCCTAAACCCGAAGCACGCATGGAGCCATAGTAAGGCCTAAACCCTAAACCCGAAACCGCATGGAGCCATACTGTTGATGGACAAAATTCTGCATGACCCAAATATAGTATAGCACCATAAATCCCAGAGTTTAGGTATATAAGGTCATGCAGGATTTTGTCCATCAACCGTAGTAAGGTGGTCATCATGGACATGAAGGGGCTCAGCTTTTGGCCTGACCCGCGGGCCATGTCCGTCTTCAAAGAGCCCCTTGGAGGGGTTTTCCAAAGTCAAGGGCTTGGGGCTGAAGGGTTAGGGTTTAGGGTTTAGGGTTTAGGGTTTAGGGTTTAGGGTTTAAGGGTTCAGGGCTTGGGGGGGGTTCCATAATAGGAATAGCTACGTAGTATGGTTTGGGCCAGTATCCGCCCTTTGAGTACACAGGACCCTTTGGAGAATTTGGTTCTTCTCAGGGGTTCTGTTGTTCGATTCTTTTTTTGGATTGAGGGGTTTAAGGGTTTGGCTTTAGGGTTTAGGGTGCTTGTTCGAGGCTTTTTGGAGGGACCCCATGACTACTAAGCTTGCTTTTCCTGAAAAAGTCGGGCATTCAGCCATTCTTCATCCAGCCCAGGCTCCACATAGCAAAGCCCTCTTCATAGCCTAATGCCTGAACCCTAAACCCTAAACCGTTATGCCCTGATCCCTTCTGAGCCCTCCATCGGATACCTCAAACTCCGGTGGGTTCTTATCAGGCCCTCAAGCCGCATGAGGGCTTACCCTCCTCAGATTCTAGATTCGGGCCTGGGAGCCTTACAGTAAGGTAGGGGCCTCAATAGTAACCTATACCATTTTGGGGGTTCCTTATTGTAAGATCTTGTAAGTATAATGGGCCCCAAAACAGAGCCTTTATTAGAGCAGTGTGTAGATGTGTTCGATATATGTGGTGAGATGCCCAAAGTCATGTTTCGCTTTCTTACAGCGGTGTGTGTGTGTGTGTTGCGTTTCTGGACCCTAAACCCTAAACCCTAAACCCTAAACTCTAAACCCTAAACCCTAAACTTCAAACCCTAAACTCTAACCCCTAAACTCTAACCCCTAAACTCTAAACCCTAAGCCAAAGGTTGGGGGTGGAGGGAATCGGGCTTGGGGCTCAGGGCTCATGGAGATGATGGGGTCTTGATTATTACAGTTTAGGTTTCGGGGTGTAGGGTTTAGGTTTCGGGTTTCGGGTTTAGGGTGTAGGGGTTTAGGGTTTAGGGTGTAGGGGTTTAGGTTTCGGTTTTAGGGTTTAGGGGCTTTTGGGTTTAGGTTTCGGGTTTAGGGTTTTCGGGGTTTGGGGTTAAGAGTCCTTCAAACTTCTGCACAGCCAGATAAGTGCCCCGCAGGGAGGCAAGATGTGGAAGCTCTAAATCTGCAGACTACGCGGAGTCAAGATGCAAAAAGGGGCCGCGGACCCTGAATCACAGCTATGCCTTAGATGGACCCGCTGGGTTTGTGGGGTTTAGGATTTAGGGTTTAGAGTTTAGGGTTGCAAAAGAGGACCCTGTGCCCTGCACCGTAATTCCTGTGCAAGGAAGCTTTCGCTTCCATCTTAGAAGCCCTGCCACCACCCTGACCCGTCTCCTATAAGTACGACCCCTGAACAAGAAGCTCAGGTAAACTATACCGAAACGCAGAAATCCTAAACCCTGAACCCTAAACCCCCAAACACCCAAAACCACAAATCCGAAACCTGAAGTTTAGGTCGAAGCCTTCGATGTCCCAAAGCGAAGTGAACCCCAGGTTCTTGAGTGTGAGCCAAAGGCCTGAGCTGTCTTGCTTGAAACCGGTGCCTTCAGAGGATTAGGGGGTTTAGGGTTTAGGGTTTAGAGTTTAGGGATTTTAGGGTTTGGGTTTCATTAGGACTTGGGGTTTAGGGTCTTTAGGGTGTAGGGTTTTTAGGGATTGGGGTTCAGGGTTTAGGGCCTTAAGATGCCTTGAGAATTAGTCTTGTGTGTCAGGCCCTTCGCTAAGAGCCCTAATGAATAGTATTCCGAACTTTACATATAGAGCTTGCCATGAAGAGGAATCCCAATGAATGATGCTACGAATAAGCGTTGGCTTAAGGGTGCGGGGGTTGGAGTTCCGGGTCCCGTCGACCAGATTCTCGGGGGCTGTGTTGGGTCGTTGGTGGATTACTAGCTAGGATTTACTGTTGACGGTTTAGGGGCTTACTGTTTAGGGGTTAGGGCTTTGAAATTAGGGGTAGTCCAGTGATACATTTGTTTTATTGTCGCTAAGTTTCTGGGAGAATATGACTAGCACCAAAAGTTTACACGTTTTCCCCAGTTACTGAACAGCCAAGCTTAGCATAGGATAGACCTTTGGTGTGTAGGGTTTTGGATTTAGAGTTCAGTGTCACTGCAACTGTTGACTCCGAGCCAGGGTCTCTCGTCGAGAAATTCTTGTGGATTTAGGGCTGGGAGATTTACTATGTGGCTGCACCAGATGTCAGGAAGGAGTCCAGCATGGCAACATCCTTGACGGCTGACTCGCTGGACGTGGCACACGACATCATAGGCGACTCACTGCACCAGCTGGCAGTCGAGAGCGATAGCTGCGCAGGCGGGGGAAAGAACCAATGGATCCGCAAGTTCGCCGGCATCGTGATTGGGGGTTCAAGTTCTCATCCGTTTCCCACTTGTTCGCAGTTGTGGGAGACACCCACAATCGGCTGGATCAGCGATTCAGCGTGCTGTTCAGCTGCCTGGACGGGCACAGCGGGTTCTGGAAACGCCGGAGGGGCCTTGCATATCTGTGGATGTGTATAGTGTCCATGTTTCTGCGCACGTTGACGGTGACTCTGCTTCCTGTGCAAACTTGGCGACCGTGACCAGGCTGTCGCACAGTACCTGCGTGCGAACGTCAAGCCAGCGGAGAAGCGCAAGCTTGTTGTGAAGGTCGCGAAGGGTGCCTGGGACTTCCGGCGGTAGATCGGTGATGGGGACCACTGAAGATGAGTGGCTTGGGGCAGAGAGTTTTCGACGTGCCCCTCGTGGCGCTTCTGTGGCCGCAAGGACACTTATAGAGAGAGCATGTAGGGTTGGAGTTGTTGTTCTGGCCTCTGTGTGATGTGGAAGTTTGAAGTTATTGTCGGGGTTGGGGTTGAAGGTTCTTTCCGTGACGTTTCGACACTCAAGACTTAGAAGTAGGAGTCGCCGGGTTTAGAGCTTAGGTTTATAGTTATAGAGTTTAGGGTTTAGGGTTTAGGATTGGACATTTCGGGCTTGGCATTGATACAACCCTCAACTCGAATTCATTTCCTCAAGCATTTTGCTCGAGGTGCCTTCAGATGTAGACCTTGGGGTTTAGTGTTTATTTTGAGGTCCAGGGGACTTAGTAAGTAGGTTATAAGTAAAGTTATAAGTACCCCAAATAAGGTACCCCAAGATAACCCTACTTATAGCCGACTTACTAAGTCCCATTGGCCTCTAAGTAGGGCAAGGGGTATTGGTCCGTAGGGCTTAGGAGACTAGTCTTTAGTATGTGCCCAGACGCTTTTTTCTCTTCGCAGTCCTCATGCCTGTCAGGCATTCTGGGGCATTATGGGGCATTTGTTCGGTTTGGGTTTGGGGGATTTGGAGGGTTTGCATTCGAGTTTCGGGGTTTGGGGTTTAAAGGCTTATAAACTTTAACCTCTACCAGCACTGAACGTCGCCAGGTACTACCCAGAGACGCTGGGGCTCTCTTGGCTGCAAAGTTAAGGCTTAGGGTTTAGGGTATACTACCATTATGGAAGTAGGCTCCAAAAGACCATGCCGGCTATGGCTCTTGGGTCCTAATTTAGTCCTAATGCATCCTGGTAGTATATATGGACCCTCAGGGACGGGATAGTGAAGCAGGGTCAGCCTTAATTGCTTGCACGGTTTAGGGTTCAGTGGTGTAGGGTTCAAGGGTTTGGGGTTTAGGGGCTGATTACTCAGGAGTGTTAGCAAGTGTATTTCGGGTGTTAGTTCGGGAAGACCTGAAATACAATCCTTACCTTACTTCATTCAGAGATGGAAACGGAGCCCGTAGAGAAAGCCTTAGAAGAAGCTGTATAGCAACCCTTGTTAAGAGCCGTTATTGGCAGCAGCCCTACATTTCCTTCAACAGCCTCTCAAGCATGCAGCGAAACGGCTGCGGCCCAGAAACTCGGGTATAGCTCGAACCTGGATTTCAGCACCTTTCTCAGTTGCCTTAACTCCGATTCTTGCCATGGTAGACCCGGCCACCTACGGTTCAGAACCTTAAACGTTGAACTCCTAAACCCTGGGGAAGAGCTGAGACCCATGTGGGGCTGGGGAGTGCTGGGGAGACGCTACAGCATACCTGGGGAGTATCGCTCACTGGTAGTCTCTCTCGGCCTATCTGTCTGTCTATCTATCTATCTATCTATCTATCTACCTGTCTGTCTGTCTATCTATCTATCTATCTCTATATCTATCTCTCTCTCTCTCTATATAAATATATATATATATATATATATATATATCGCGATCTCGTGGTGGCCTGGCATCCCGGGAACTCGTGTGTGCGTAATTACCGAGAAGGAGCGGTGGGAGCACTAGTTATGGGCTGGGAGCCTTTACTTTAGCTTCTGGCGGTTGCTACAGCATGGCCAGGGAAGATTAGAGGCATTCTAGGCTTCGAGTGCGAACTTTCCCCCCCTGGAACCCACGACCCTTAACAACATGGTAGGAGTTTAGGGTGTTAGGGTTTAGGGTTCAGAGTTTACATGGGTCTACGCCCTGAACCCGAGGCTTCAATGCTCTTTGATCTCGGGCCCTACACTGAGCAGAGCACAGAAACCCAAATGACACCGAAAACCCTAATAACCTGAAAGCCCTGATTCCGTCCCTTAATTGACTATAATCCTATACTATATCACCAAACGCTATTCCCATGACTAACCCCGCCGACATGGAAGGTCTAAACCTCAACGCATTTAGTCTAGCAGGATCTCAAAGGATCCGTATTGAACCCCACTTGAACCCCTGAAAACCCCGCTGATTTGGAGGCGTAATTCTGTAAGTGTTGCGCCGCCTTCGAGAAGAATGAGCCAAGCGAGTCTCTGCGTTCAGGGTGGGCATCTGGCTTTGGTGGCCTTCCAGCTCACTTTGTGTGCTCAAGCATGGCAGACAACAGTCGGGCGGACTTGGTGGCCTGGCAAAACGAAGACTCCAAACACCTCCAACCCTTCGCGGTTGAAGAGTGGAAGGCTAGCAGTTGCCTGCAGAGCCGGTGCAAAATCAAAAGTGTGCCAAGGCAGCCGAGGGTGGCTTAGCTTCTGAAGCTGCTGGTCCTGCAGCTGAACTGCACCTGGTGCTGGGCTGGGCAAAGGAAACCATGCGCCACCTCGCCCGGTTGGGGGCGTGGCTTGCTGGGCTCGGCTGCCCCGCTGTTCCCCGCCGAGATGGCGGCACTCGGTCCAAGGACGAGTCGGCGCATTTGCTCAATGCCGTCTTAGCGGCCGCTGGTTTGGTCACCAGCTTCACCGACTCCAGTGGTGTGGAGCGAGCCATCTTCGGCTGCCGGGTGGCAGGGGCCACCTTCCTCGTGGCCAGGGCGCTGCCCATGGCTGTAATTAGCCTCCTGGGGCGCTGGTCTTCGCGGCCTGGTAGGAAGACACGGCTGCCAAGAAGGCCCAGACGGACGGACTGCTCAGGCAGCTGCCAGAAGCACTCCAAAAGAGGATACCAGGCAACCTTGAGGAGCCGTATAGAGGGGCACTAGGGAGAACAAGGGATATTGCTTTATATAACGCCCTTGAACCCCCTTAAACCTTAAACCCTAAACCCTGAACCCTCAACCAACCCTAAACCCTAAATCCTACACCCTCAACCCTCAACCCCTTAAGGATCCCAGAACCCTCGGCGACTCTCGGTGTTGAGGGTCCAGTTCTTCCTGAACACCCCACCCATCTTCCTCGCAATCTGGCGGCTCATCAAGGAGCTTCGACGCCTGAGTTCACAGTTGTTAAGGGGTTGTTAGGGTTTAGGGTTTAGGGGTTGTTAGGGTTTAGGGGTTCAGGGTTTAGGGGTTGTTAGGGGTTTAGGGGTTTAGGGTTTGGGGGTTAGGGGTTTAAGGGTTTAGGGTTGTTAGTTGTTAGGGCTTAGGTTGTTAGGGTTTAGGGGTTAGGGGTGTTAGGGTTTAGGGTTTAAGGTTGGGTCTAGGGTTGAGGGTTTAAGGTTGAGGGTTTAGGGTTGTTAGGGTTTATAGAGGTTAGGGTTTTAGGGTTTAGGGTTGAGGGTTTAGCGTTTGGGCTTGTTCGGGTTTAGAGCTGAGGTTTTCAGGGTTGAGGGTTTAGGGTGTAGGGTTGTTAGGGTTTAGAGGTTAGGGTTTTAGGGTTCAGGGTTTAGGGTTTTAGGGCCTTAGGGTTTAGGCTTTAAGGTTTAGGGTGGGCCTGACTCGAATTCGCAGAAGCTTGACGGTTTACGGGGAGGACGTACACGGAACCCGGGAAGCGGAAACTGCCAATGTGCAAGGGTTTTCCGCCGAGAGTGTCGAAGGAGACAACGGCTTGCTGCAGGTCGCCCAAAACTGTTCAGGGTTTTTGGTTTAGGGTTTGGGGTTTAGGGTTTAGGGTTCAGGGCTTGGGTTTAGGGTTTGGGTTTAGGGCTTAGGGTTTAGGGTTTAGGGTTTATGGTTTAGGGTTTGGGGTTTGGGGTTTGGGGTCTAGAGTTTAGGGTTTCCAAGCCGCTGGTGCAAGCAGGTCTCCTCGGGAACTCGAGGCAGTCCTGGACAAAACCTTGCATGTCAAGATCGTCGACCCAACCGCCATGGGCTCCTCCGAGGGCGCGGCAGCTTTCTTTGGCAATCCTGTAAATATAAGGGCTTTAATAATTAGAATAGGATTTTGGGGGTGTGTTATACCACAATTATAACAAGGAACCCCCAAAACCCTATAGTAATAATTAAGGCCACTATCTTAGGGTCTTTCGTCCTTGTGTATTTAGGGCCACGGTTTCCCACCTGGGGTGCACACTCTTTCAGAGGGTCCCAGTCTGTCAGTGTTCGTTTGGTTTAATTAGGGTTTGGGAATTTGGGGTTTGGGGTTTAGGGTTTTGGGGTTTAGGGTTTTCCGGTTTAGGGTTTAGGGTACGGTTTAGAGACAGCAGAAGGCTTACCATAATCAGAGTTACTATGAAGGGCTGCTGTCACGGTTACTATAGAGGATCGCTATCAGGGTCATTCGAGGGACAGGCTTTGTAGTATCTCTTTCCATCTAAGGTAGGTTGCTGGGTTATGGGTACTAGAGGTAGGGTTAGGGTTCACACTTTTGGGTTTGTTTTGTTTCAGGTTGAGGGGGACTGTTCACGGCGATCGAAGGCATGCATGAACCCAATTTGCCAATCCCTGAACCTGCTAAACTGTAAATCCCAAACCCTTAAGACCAAAACCCCTAAACCCTTAAAGCCTAAACCCCTGCATGTCTCGGGAGGTGCAAAGAGTATCGCACAGGTGTCGCACTAGTTACTGATACCATTCCACGGAGCTCTTCCTGTTACCGTTGCTGTTAGATTGGATATAGGGTTTTGGGCTATTAATACTTTGAGGAAGATGAGGATTACTTACCGTATAGTGTACCGCTAAACCATACGTATTCTAATTGAGTTTTATATGTATAGCGAAGCAGGAACTTGAACTCCAACCCAAAGCCCGATCTGTGAGAGTCTAACTTAACCGTATTGGGGTGAACGCTAAACCCTAACACCCTGAACCCGCACTGAACTCTGCACCTCCATGACACTCCTTGGTGTTCTCGGAAAGGAGGAGGAAGAGAGTTGTGCTTCTTCCTCCGGGCCCAAGTTTTGCATGTTCAATTCCACAGGTCACCCTCTTAGATAGCCAAAGGGAGAAGTTTAAACTTCTTGGGCCTCTATATATATATATATATATATATATATTGATTCTGTCTTTTAAAGATTGAACCTTTTGGGGCCCGGTTATTGAAGAAGAGAGCCCTAAGCCTCGCCAGGACTGGATAGATCCGGAGTCACGTCTGCAATGGAGGAGGGCTGTTGCAGGCTTCGCACGCCTTGTCGCCACATGCCCACATCCCGTCGGACAACCGGTTGGGGGTTAAGGGTTGGGGTTTAGGGTCCAGAATTTTAGTGTTTAGGGTTGGGGTTTACTTCAAGACTTAAGGGCTTTTGCTACCATAATGCCGACGCTGAACCCTCTGATACTCCCTATTTTCGACTTAGGACCTATCTCAACCAGAGACCAAACACGTATTATGTGGTTGTATACGGTTATAATAAATAACCATATATATATATATATATATATATATTTGCCATATTAAACCCTAGCATTTTCAAAGGTCGAGGCAGCTGAACGTACTTGAGGGCGAACTCTTGCTTGTGTGTGCATGCAAAGAGAACTGATCCCTTGGTTGAGTCGAAAGCCGTTAGCCGGCAGAGCAAGAAATCCCCCTGTCCCTCAACCCCAAACCCTGAAACACGAGCCAACCCTAAACCCTAAAACGCTATAGAAACCCCAAACACTAAACCTTAAACCCTAAAGCTTACACTTAAATCCCTTCTAGAACTCTTAAAGGCAACCCTCAGCTCCAATGCCCCAATCAGTTGACACCAAGGTGACAGCAAGCAAGATGCATCTTTTGGGATCGGACTACCAGGGCACTTTGCTCCAGTGCCTTGTGGTTCTGTTTGGTTTTGTTGGGTTTAGGGTTTAAAG